CCTTGATGTCTAACACGTACTTGCTCAAACCGGTATCTTCAATTGAGACTTCCGAAACCTGTTTTGGGGTTTGGTCATTACCCGATTTTGGTTTCGATCATTTTCAATGGTGGTCTTCTTGTTCCTAAGACAATTGGCAGTTTGATGACCAAACCGGTCACAGTTGGTGCATTTTACTAAAGTTTTCTCACACTTGAAGCTTGGATGGCCAACCTCATTGCAATTAAAACATTTTATATTAGAATTGACAATCGTACCTGGTTTAGACGACCCTGGTCGGTTTGTGTTGCTCCCTAGTCTTCGATCATTTGATTTCCGCATGTAGTCGTGAGAGTCCCTGATCGGGCCACTTCTGACAGTCCTGAAATATTTTAATACCTGTTCAGGCTCGCTGAACTGAGCTGCCTGAGCGCCAACTTTCACCGCACGATCTTCTATGCCAAACAAAAGGCAGTCCACCGCTTGTCTACCCTGTATTTTACATCTGTTTAAGAGGTTTACCTTTGCGTAGTAATACTGCTCCAAGGATTCTCCATATTTGGCTTTCTTAGCTAACATTTCAGTTAAAAGTTCTGCGTAATCTTCTCTACATGGAAAAGATTCAAGAAGTTTCCTTTTCCATTCTGGCCACGAATGCAATATCGAGGTTAGACCCTGATACCACGTCTTTGCTACACCTGTTAACTTTGGTAAAGAGTAGTGAATTATTTCTTTTTCCTCCCACCCATAAATCTCTGCACATTCCTCAACTTTTGTTAACCAAGTCAGTATTGTTTGTTCTTTTGATAAAGGGTCGAACTCCGGTATTACATTCGTGTTAAAAGTCATTTTGGGTTTGTCATTACCTTTGAACTTTTCTAAAATATTGAGAAATTTGTCCATCATCCTGTTGTCAGAATCATTATTCTTTCTTCCTCTTCGTCTTTGCAGTGGTGGCGCCTCACTTTCCGAATCAGTTGAAGTGGAGTAATAACGCTTCCTCCTCCTCCTCCGTAATGATCCTCTTGAATGATTTGTTCCGCGTTCCTGCATCCGCTCATTCCAGTCCTCACAATTTATTTGATCATTTTCTCCTAGAATAATGCTTCGGTTATCGTCAAAGTTTGAGTGCCCGTACTCTTGCCTCGAGTTTGGTGCACTTTGTTCAAAACTTCGATCGTCCACAACCTGGTTTTGTCCCGTAACCTCGGGTGCCGCGTTTTGTTCATGTGCCAGACCTTCCCCTCGCCTGGTCACATCACAAGAGTAATTCATTAACCCTTTACCACGGGTTTGTATTCTATCAGGGCCCTCACCTCGGGACACCTGTCCATTAGACCCTTTGCCACGGGTTTGTATTCCATCAGGGCCCTCACCTCGGGACACCTGTCCATTAGACCCTTTACCTCGGGTATGAATTTCAACAGGGCCCTTACCTCGGGTTGCCTGTTTGTCGGACCCTTTACCTCGGGTATTTCCTTCATGTCCGTCCATCACGAGAAACCTGAAACTTACAATTAGAAGCTTAATAATCATGACAAAACATCCGCACTCATCACATATCATTTGGGTGCACCACACCGAGTTAGTTAAACATCACATATTATAAACTATTATTAAAATATACGTACACAATCCTAACGTCACCTGGGGATAGAACCCGAAGTTCCAGGCACCAGTTTAAGGCACAAATTATTTGTTCAAAGTGATATAATTTTAACCAGCATATGTATTGAATCAAGAATACTCAAAATTACTGTTCTCATTACTTATTACTAGTCAATAATATTCAGTTCACAATAAACAAGTGAGAAATGAGAAGATAAAAAAAAACAAAATTTACATCTACCTTACAAAAAGAAAGGTAAAAAGTGTTATTTTGAAAGTTTAATTTTTACTGAATGTTTAGTCCAGTTTTTGTATTGTTTTGTTTGCTATTTACAAGTATGTAGTAAGAAAATAAAAAAAATAATATCCAATAATAGATCAATAACGTAATAACCTTATTTACACAAGTAAACAAAAATAATACGTTACTTACGTTATTCCGAGCCGTGGACGTGATAAGAAAATAAGAAATTTTCTCTGTTATCCCACTTCTGACCTATTAGTCAGGAAATAAAACAGGTAACGTATCGCACACTTCACTTTATTATTCCCACACAATACAGTATTACAGTAACAATTCTACTTCTTACTCCACCGAATGCTATATCCGGAATGAATCCCTGCCATGGTCGCTAGGGTATAGGTAACTTTCTAACATACAGTGGGGGTAGCATTAGTCAAATGAACAACCAATAATACATAGGTCAACCTAAATACTTTTTAAGATGAACTAAATTACAAATAAATTATAAATTCATATTATGCGACAAGTACATACCGATTAATTAATTAGCCTTAAAAGTATTTTAGAATATTAAACTGTTTTAATAAGTACATGACATGGAATTTAACCAATCTTATACACAAAATACTACTTAACCTAACAATCATGATAGTTGTATCATGCCTTAATGTAGATTAAGGCATGCAAAGAGGCTGAATACTAATTTTATTAACCATTGAACCTCATCATCTTTAACAGCCTATAAATGCCCACTGCTGAGCAAAGCCTCTTCTCACACGGAGAAGGTGTAAGTATTACCTAATCACCACGGTGGCTCAATGCGGGTTGGCGATTACAAACTTATAATTAGAAATTATAAGCCCAGGTTTCCTCACGATGTTTTTATTTACCGTTTGTCATTGGTGTCTATAATCTTAGAAAGTACTTACATATAGGTAACTCGGAAAAAGTCACATTGGTGCTTGCCGTGGGTAGGTTTCGAACCCGCACCCTTGCATGAGAAGCAGGCGTCATAAACCTCCGGGCCACCACGACACCATTGAACCTATTGGATTGAAATTCGGATCAACGAGAGTTTGAGACACTGGCACTGGAAATGAAATCTCACGGTTCCTCACAGGAACTATGCATTAAAATTCCGGTCCTCTATTGCTTAAACCACTGAACCTATTTGAGTGCAACGATAGTTTGAGACTCGGAAAATGACGCCTGAAAGTTTTCAAACGCTGTACTCATTCGATTGGAATTTAAATGGAATTTTAATCACTTAAACCTCACGGGAATGAATAGGTACTTACGGGAAAAATCCCTGTAGGATTGTTTATTTTTTGAAATCACGAAAATAAATAACATCTATATATATAAAAGAAAGTCGTGTTAGTTACACCACTTATAACTCAAGAATGGCAGAATAGATTTGGCTGAAAATTGGTAGGAAGGTAGCTTAGAGCCAGGAGACCGACATAGGATACTTTATACCCACATTTTTTTTACTTTTTACCTAAAATCACGAACGGGGACGGGAAAAAATGGAATTACGCGTACGAAGTCGCGGGCAGAAGCTATCTATATATATAGTCGCGGAGAACCTAATGCTTCCTCTACACGTCGGCGGACGCGTCCGCCCATACCATCGGCGGACGCGTCCGCCTACGTGTAGAGGGAGTGATTTGCTCGTCTGTGGTAGGTATTTGACGTCGGCAGACGCGTCCGGCACTTATCCGTTTGTTGTCGGTTTTTGTTGCACGGATCAAAGGGATCTGGCGCGGGCGCCCGGCGCGAGCGTGCGGTGTGTCCACACCCGGGGCTCCGGCTCGACGTGCAGGAGAAGGAACGGGGTGGTTTTTAGTCAGTAAGAGTCTGACACTCCCTTCCGCCTCACCCAGGCGAGAGCAGCCATTCGATGATTTTCCGCCGTTAAAAAAATCTATATAACTATATAAAAGAAAGTCGTGTTAGTTACACCACTTATAACTCAAGAATGGCAGAATAGATTTGGCTGAAAATTGGTAGGGAGGTAGCTTAGAGCCAGGAGACTGACATAGGATACTTTTTAACCAAATTTTTTTTTACTTTTTACCGAAAATCACGAACGGGGACGGGAAAAAATGCGATTACGCGTACGAAGTCACAATAAATATAACTGAATTGATTCTGATGAAATTTGTTACACAGCATTGCAATTAAACTTGGAGAGAAGACTAATTAAAAAATCCAAAATTTGCCAGAAGTCATTGTTATACGCGGACAAAGTCGCGAGGAACAGCTAGTATCTTATATACGGGCATTCAAGCGGTTAAACGCCTCAAAAGTATTTACCTAATTGTAGCTAAATGAGTGCCGTTCGGTGTCTTATTTAGGCCAAAGTGAAATATGTCGCGAGTGGGATCTTTTCCAAGTTAATAAAATAAAAAAATCCTGATGGTGATGGTGCTAGACCGAGAGACACATGAGTGGTGCTTTAATGAGATAATAACAAGGTAAATCATCAAAATAAATAAAACAAAATAGACTTTATTATTAAAGATTTATTTCTCCAACTATATTTACATTGTTATCTTAGATCGATTGATTAAATTAATTAAATATTACACACACAACAGTTTGATGTAGCTAACTAAAATTATCCTTATCATACAATGGACGGAGTAGTCATCTCTGATGTACTTTAACTACATACCTACCTATATTGTAACGATAATTTTACAAACAGTGAGTCAACAGAAAAAAAACATTTCACAAAAATAGCATTTTAAAAGTTTTGTCTTGAAAAACTGTCACTGACCTCAAAAATTCAAAAATGGAATGGAATCGTCAATTTCTTATTCATTCCTTTGTTATGTTAAAAGAAAATGTTAAAAATCTGTTTATTGAATAACCAATAGGTGTTAAGTATTTATCTCGTTGATAAGGGTCCTTAATCCAGGTAAGTCTTTTTTATCTTTTAGACTTCTATACAATACAATAGCAATTCTCGGTCATAAATAAAATGTTAGTATTAATCATTATCCAATATTGAACTAAATTCACTGTTTTTCTGATTGATTGAAACTGGTCCACAATTATCTCTTGCAATGCAGAACGATTTTAACTTAAAATATTTTTAAAGCCACATCCATCCTTTTAATTTTAAAATTAGTACAATATCATTTGGTTGTTACTCTATGATTCAAGCACCCATGATCGTGTCGTATACTTCTGTGATGGGAGCGAGGGCTACTAGGCAGACCATAGCGATCGCGAATATCAGTACTACGGGCGTGTAGACTCCGAGGAGCAGCCGTCTGAACCTTGAGAACTGGAAACAAAATATGTATATTAGTAAAGTTACTGAAGTAGATTCTAACATTTTATTATGGCGCGGAGAAAGCCATCACAGTCTCGAGCACGTGGCGTCCACTCATTGACTTTCTGTAATTTACGTAAAATAGTGTGGGAGAGCCATGCTTCGGCACGAATGGGCCGGGCTTGTCCGGAGGGATGATACCACGGCCTCACAACCTACCACGACGAAACAACGCAACCCTTGCGTTGTTTCGTCGTGTGAGTGAGGTTACCGGAGGCCCAATTACCCTCCCCTTCCCCAATTCCTGAATCCCCAACGATCCTCAAACTCCTAATCCGCAAAAGGCCGGTAACGCATTTGTAACGTCTCTGGTGTTCCAGGTGTCCATGGGCGACGCCGCTTGCTTACCATCAGGTGATCCGTCTGCTCGGTTACCGGCTTATGCCATAAAAAAAAGAAGTATTTGCCAGCTTTGGAAATCAAAGTGTAGGTAAGTTTAGTAGAGAGCGCCGCTGCGTGATCTCTGTTCAGGATGTGTATCTGATCCCTTAATCGTATAGTACGACACCCGGAAGAGAAGATATGGTCACAAATTTTTGATCCATTCTACTGTTAGCATATCACACGACTCGAAAAGGCACTAAGTAGTTGTTTGGTCTGTGTGTGTGGATGTAACTCACCGGAGCATCAGTGCTGCGGTCGACCTGCGTGGCCTGCCGCGTCTGTCCGAGCATGTCCTTCATGGGGAACGCGTTGATGCGTCCGTTGCTAATACGCCCGTCCGATACACACACCGTCAACTGGGGAAGTCAAAACAAAAAGTAAGATAACGAAGATTAGCTATAGATCTACTACAACAAGGACAGGTCTGAATTGAAAGTTTGTGAGGCTGTATCTATCCACGTATGGGAGTGTAAAAATAATTTGTAGGATAGTTGGCCATTTAGTCTCGCAAGCGCACGAGGATGAAACCGTTATTTAGGTATAGCGGAGGCTACTGTAGTTAACCAAAGTATGGCCAGGAGAAAGTGTTACACAGGTACTAACAGTGAGCACAAGATGCATGATGACGTGGAAGGCGACGAAGGCAGCGAGTATGTACACGCTCCACGAGGGGAGCTCCGCCTTCTGCAGGTACACCGCGAAGAAGATCGTCACGACTGGAACAAATATAAACCACATTAGTTACACATCATGCACTCGTGATAGTCCACCGTTGGACTGGAGATGTCATGCTGGTTGGAGACACTGTTTAACACGTTCAGGTTTTTCTCGTAGTCGGCTATTATAGCCGTAGGAAGAGTACATTTTTAGAACATCATCGTCTTTATCACCATCATATCAGAAACAAGATGTCCACTATTAAAAGCAGGTCTTTCTCAATGGCTTCTCAAGATCGGCTGGTTATCACAACAAAAATATTCAACCCCAGCTTTGTACTTACTTCCCAGAATGTGAGCGGAGTTCCCGAGCAGCCAGTGCGCCCAGTTGAAGACCGGCCTGGTCTTAGTGCCCGGGTGCGGCCTGAAGTATGCACCTGTAATGTAAACCAATAAATCTTTAATATTAAAGTAGTAGTTAGGAGCGTAAAATTGCTAAGCAGGTGATCTCGGGTTCGATATCCGGGTCAGGCAAAGCGTGTTTGGGGTATTTTAAAATGAGCCTTTAAATATTTCTTAACATGACTGCCTCATTGGTTGAATTTGCAATTTATTTCTGCCAAGATAAATGTTATGGGAATTAACTATAACATATTATGTAAGTGACGAATAATTTGTGTTACACTAAATACTTCAATTAACTATAGAGACCTCTACTCCTTCGGTGATTAAATACGATAGTTAAGTATGTATGTACTAGGTACTTACCAATAGGTTGTATGAAGCACAGGATAACCGTGACGATGCCGGTGATGGCGTGAGGGTTGTCTCCAGTAGTGGACCAGCCGCCCACCTCGATCAGGATCAGAATGAACCCGACTACAGTCAGCAGCCACGTCAGTACCATGAAGATACGATGGTACTATAAGTAGCATTTAAGAGTCAGAAAAAAACCTTCTATTTGTAACAAATCAACACATCAAACAAATTCATTAACGTATCGTAAATAATAAAAAAATCCTTGTAGCGTCTATCTGTTACAGATTTACTTCAAAACAATATCTAAATAAAAATATTCCATTCAATTTGACCACAGTTGATAGAGCGAATCATGAAAAAAAACATAAATGTTAATAAAATGTCTACGACGGGACGTGACGGACGGAAGTTGCAAGAATAAAACTAGTTAATAAAATGTTGTGTTTCACTTACAGCAAACCAGATATCCTTGCCGCCGAGCTGCTTGCCGACCCAAGTCTGCCTAAAGTAGCGAGCTAGCAGTATACCAAGCGATGCAGTGCCCAGCCAAGCTAGCAACATGAAGCTGCCGTGTAGTTTGAGCAGTAGCTTGGAGCTACCAGCCGCGGTGCCCACTGTAGCCAGCGACATTGGAGTACCGGTCGCTTCGTACGCCAAGTCGTGGAATCCCACGCGATTCGCATCTGGAATAGAGTAGTTCGCTTTTATAGAAATGATAGAATGTTGTAGATATTTGTAGATATTCTATAAACCGTATTTAGAAGATGGTAATGTAACTGACAAGTCCTTTTAAATATTTTAAAAAAACAATATCTACACCAGCTTACCTTTCATCTCACTGCCAGCGACCACCATCAAATTGTACATAGAGTTGGCGAGGTCGAACGTCTTGCCTTGCACAACAGACACCACGTCTCTTCTGAACTTGCAGTACAGTTTGCCATCGATCACAGACGACTCCTGAAGCTGCACGATCTCTTGAGGCGAGTCAGAACGGCTTACATAGGGATCAACCTTAGAATAAGTCCACGAAGTGAAGAGGCTTACTCTCCCATTGTCATTCCTCACGCATTCCATGGCGCTATCGTCACCCATCTTATTGTCAGTACTTAGACCAGCTGCTACATACTTAGGGTTGCCAACGGCCTGCAGTTCAAACGTGTATCGGTCTCCCGAAACAAATACTGCTAGTACAGCTTTGCAGTCGCCTTTGGTAACGCAGTTCTGTGGTACTCCAAAGCATAGTTTCGTGTCAGAACAGCCCTGGTAGACCACGTCGAGGGGTGCTGCTTCTTGTTTGGGCTGCAATAAAGAAATTTAAAGTAGTGTTTAATTCATTATTCGTGGTGATTGGAGTGGAGATGGGATTGACAACAAGCTTGCATTAATGTATTGGTAAAACAAAGGTGTGGTTGTGACTGGTCGCATTTTTGGGATACAACATAGTAAAGTGTGGGAGAGCCATGCTTCGGCGTGAATGGGCCGGCTCAACCGGAGTGATACCACGGGTTCACAGAAGACCGACGTGAAATAACGTTGTGTTGTGTTTCATCGTGTGAGTGAGGTTACCGGATGCCCATTACCCCCCCCCCCCTTTTCCCCAATCCCTGAATCCCCAACAATCCTCTAATTCCCAATTCCAAAAGGCCGGCAACGCACTTGTAACGCCTCTAGTGATCCAGGTGTCAAGAGCGACTTCGATTGCTTATGCCATCAGGTGATCCGTCTGCTCGTTTACCGGCTTATACCATAAAAAAAAAGATTTTTATTAAAAATTTATTGATGCAATTCAAAAGTTATTCACTTTGCGAACGTTAAAAAAAGTGGTTTAGTCGTACCTTGCTCTCCATGATGACGGGCGGTGGTTGCGTTGCCCTAGTAGTGGCTGGTGCAGCGGCAGCGGGGGCGCTGGTTACTGTGTCGGGAGTCACCACCTCGACTAAAGGAGACTCCACATTCTTCCAGAAAGTTGCGTAGCTTTGGGCCACGGTCGCTCTGTTGGGCAAATGAAACACGTATATCAACAAACAATTTAGTTATGTTTCTGAGCAAGTATGTGCATGCTCAGAAACATAACCTTGACATTATGTTAAGTGCGGTAACACAAATTTGATTTTTTAGGCGGAACCCAGAAAAACCTCACGAATGGGTCTACTTATAGCAGTTGCAGAAGGTACTATTAAAGAAAATATCATAGTTCTTACCTGAATTCAATTCCTCCAAGGAAGTCAGTAGGTGCTTGCCATTGGAAGGTCATGGCAGGTTTGTCCTCGGGCGAGGAGTGTGTCACCGTGTCGTTGGGGTTGCTACATGTGGTCACGTGGGTCATAGTTGTGTCTGGTACGCCTACAAACTTGCCTACTATCACGTCTGGGTTCTGGAAGTAAAGAACATAAGTGTAAGTATATGTAAGCGTCTTGTAATCAAGGTACTGTTATTTTCTCATTAGGAACTACTAACTAGGATCATTAGCATAGAACTGGGATTGGGACATTAATTCTGGTAAGTACTTATAAAATATCTAGTGAAAATTGCTTGCTCCGTTTAATATAGTAGGTTCACGCCTAAGTATGCCAAGTATTGTCGCGTTTTAGTCAGCAGTGGGTAATGTATAGGTACCGGAGACCTGAGTTAAATGTTTTGGAATAACCACTGTGAAAGCACTAGACTACACTAATTCCAATGAAGCTAGTGATGTAGGTATAGAAACAAAAGTACATAATTATTATGTAGGTGTTACCTACATACTAAAGTGTTATGTTAGAACAACCGGTATGTTACAAGGTATCATAGCTACGTTATGAGTAGTTGTGGGCAGGTATAACGTGTTAGGTAATATTGGAGTATCTCGAGAATTTGGAGCAAACTGCGTTATAAACAGCGTGTATGCGTCATTGACAGATGCAGGTCAAGTCGTCACTGCACCAATACAGTAGACAAGTTAATACCATCATTATGTCCCCTCTTGAGGGCCTTAAAGAACGTTGAGATTCATAACATAACATTGACAGTTTCTAATTGACCTGAAAAAAGACTTCGTCTTGGCTTTCATGATGCAATTCACTAATCAATATGTGGTCTTTTCATTTATGCTATTTAAGTGAAACAAGTGAGTTTTAGGCAACCACTACTATTAAATAAACAAGGCAGAACTTTTACATGCCAATTTTATCGAGCGAACGATGAGGTCGACATTTCCTGACTACTCTGAGAAAAAACCCAGAGGTCATTCAAGTAGGATGGGAGAGGATGTCATTCATGTAGGATGTCCGATGTAGGTAACATAACTTGTCTCGTCGCCAAGTGTCTGTACCACATATGGAAGGGTTTGTCAATGCAACTACAATTGGTATGCCTAGATACTGAACTCATTGTTAGTGACATGGAATGAATGGATGCCTCATGGAACAAAAATGCGTTGCACATGCCAACGCGTGCTTCGCGAGAATAAAGAAAAAGAAAAAACATAATAAGTATGTATGTACAACGCTCATTTACGCATTTCGTGGAAGAGGAAAATCGAAGAATAGTTTATTGTATATCTAAACCAAACAAGATTCTTAGCCGCATGATGGCGTGTAGATGTTACAATGCAATACGTGTTTTTTATGGGGCAAGCTGGCATACGCCTGATAGTAAAATGATCGACGCCGCCCATGGATATCTACAACACCTTGACTTCCACCACGGATTGGGGTGACTGGGGATTGTAGTGTAAATTCTTACCTGTATCTGTCGAGCCTGTAAGATGAACCCTCCGATGGGTAGCGGAGCCCCCGCAGGGCTGCCGACTGTCACCTGCAGAGTGTCTCCCTGCCTCACTTGTGCAGTCGATGTCAGGATGATGTAGGGAGGTGTCGATGACTGCGCCGGGATAGACTCGTGTCTCGGCGTCTGGTCTATACAGGCCTGAAATAAGAAAATAATTATTTTTATACTTTCTTGGTTGTGTCTTACTCCTGCTATTTGATTGGCATTAAGACCATTTCCTACAACTACTACGATGGGTTTTGGCTTTACGTCTGATATACACTGTATTGCCAATCTCACTCAAATGCCAAAGAGATAACTATTTAAGGAATAATAATTGTAGATAGACTACACTATACCATATTTTCCAATGACTTACCCCTGACTGCCTCGTTGGCCGAGTGGTCGTAAAAGCGACTGCCGGGCAAGGGGTCTCGGGTTCGATACCCGAGTCGGGCAAAGTATTGAGTTTTAAAATATCTCAGTAGTAGCACGGAGTTTGGAAATGTACCCGGTATATGGTAAAAGGCTCACCCCCTATTACATGGGACTCGTAACATAAATAGTGAAAAGTGGGTGTTTCATTGTACAGAGGCATTAAGTGCCGAAATGTGCACCTCTGCCTACCCCTTCAGGGATAAAAGGGCGTGAATGCGTGATGTTATGTTATGTTTGTTGTGACTTACCCCTGACGGAGCTCCGGAGCCATACTGTTCCGTCTGGTGGATCACCATCGCGACTACAAAGCTGAGCAGCATCGCACTTCTTTTCCTCGGCAACATTATGACTGCTTCTGGAAAAGAAAGAACAATTTGGAGTCAATACTAACCTTAACCAATAAAGAGGAAAAACTCATTACTTATCCTACTTCCATTCTGTACCTACATTCTTAAACAATTAGACAGACTTTAATCCATTTCAATACAAAGGTTTAGCATAGTTCAAATAACTGCAAACTTAGTTCATAATAGCAAACTCTGTCCGTTAGAAAGAGACGCCAATACACAATAGAAGCAGGTCGGACAGGAACAAAAGATCTCATTAATGTCACGCACGAGGAAGTGAGGTCAGGCAAAGTGAAGGGAACTGTATCACGGTGCTGATGACGTCATCAGTTCATGGTGAATTTGATCCTTAACAAAAGGTGTAAAAGCTGTTTAAATATATATAAAATAACGGAGATCGTTTTTGTAATAGGTACAGCCTAAATTAAAAAAATAACCGATCGTAATCAAAAGTGTCTGAATGAATATAGGAATTGAATGCAACAGAAATTTTCTTAATTGACTACCGGTTATAATTTCAGATCGTACCTGATTACTCATAAAGACTTGGTCGTATGTAAGTTAGAGATGGCCCTCTGTTGTTAAACTTTCAATGACCTCACCAGTCTACCAGGTCTTGATAATAACGAGGAAGCTAGCGTTAAGTAGCAAACAGCTGACAATTAAGTATTTAAGTCAAAAACAATGTTGTCTACTTTATTAACTTTTTCTCAAGCAATCAGCATTGTTATTGTGCGACCATATTTAGGCAAGCAATGACACGCTCAGGTGAGCTCAAGACAAAACATTATTACCCACTAAGTGACTAATTGAATAATTGTGTTATTCTTGGACAAGAGGTATTTTTGACTAGATGCAGAACACTTTTATCGGGAGTACTTGTATGACTAGATGCATGAAAATTTCCAGCAAGCTATAGTGCGCGCGGATCTAGTTGGCCACGCTTTAGGCACGGCGGCACGTACGTACATACCTAAAGCGCGGCCAACTAGTTCCGCGCACACTATGAATAAATATGTAAGGATCGTACTATCACTACTATGTAGTCTATGTAGTAGGCGTTGCTCTGTAGTATTTATACTGGTACATGGTACGTATGTATGTCCTGCGTAAGTATAATATAGTTATGTATGTAGTTGATTATTGGACAACAGGCGCCGTATTCAAAATTGATTATATTTTGTATATGGTAAAACCAAGTTTGACGGCATAGTCATCACTATATGGGATGATCTACAGTTTTGAATAAATTATGGTATTCAAAATATTAAAAAAACCCAATTAAATTATAAACGTCGCATTTAGAAGTTTTGAACCGAATTAAAAGTTGGTGAAGTATTGTCGATATCAATGATTAATTTTTCGGCAACCGCAAAACTCACAGATAATTAAAGAATGTTTGCCTACCATAAACTTTGTTACCTTGGAAGGTGCGCGTTACGGGTCAAGCAAGAAGGATAAACAAAATATTTAATTTGATAAACGATGTGTGACTCATCGATTGGGAAAACGTGAGAATTATAATAAATCACTCATAAAATGATGTAGATACTTTAGAAGATTGTCAGATTATTACTGAGAATTATTTGAATAATGGCCAATGTAGCTGTTAATTACACAATAAAATTGACGATTAAATTATTAAATCCTTTTATTGTATTGTACCGGTCGTACCTACTTCTTTAGTTAGGTATACATACAACAGTAGATGAAAATGGATTGTAACTAAACAGTCTCTAAGTTACAGTAGGTATCTTCGTTCCAGTAAAACAACGACATCTAAATTCTTGACCGATTGGGCTAAAGTCAAAGTCAAGGCATTTATTTCAATTAATCTTTAATTATGCAGTTTTTAAACGTAAAAAATATAATTGTCCGTCCGTCCGTCAGTCAATTAAAGTTAAGGTACTAACGTTTGGAAGTACAAGGGTTGACGCAGAAATTATGAGGGTTAAAACGGCAGACATTTTGGAAAAATCACGCGCTAGTTAAACACAAAAGAATAAATCAAGATTCCTTTAAATACCCTTTTATACCTGCGTGGTACTACCAGAATAGATGTCACGAAGGCGTGGTTCTAAATCCAAGGACGAGGGCAATTTTACAAGCGTTTGTAAGGACTTAATAGGTACCGCGACCTAACGGACAAAAGCTTCGACTGACCGAATTGTGACTAGCCGTAGTATTTTAATCAAATTTTATTTTAACTAATCATGACACAGCCTGTTCTTATTCTTAGTTTGTCGTATCATATGTTGATTGTTGTATGTTGACTATTGATTGACTAATACAGTGACTTAGCACATTGTTACAAAATATTTTAGTCACGATTTTTTTCGTCAGTCCACTTGTAATGTTTACACTTAATGTGTTAAATATCAGTCACAAAATCGCTATTGATGGACATCGGTTCCAAATTCACGAACACGCAATTCATATTATGTCTACTGCGACATCGTTTCCCCAAACATTGGTTTGACAACTTCCTACTGCAGAAATCTCAAGGAAACTTGTAGGAAAATGCGTCGCAGTGTAATCTACTATATAAAAATAAGTCGGGTTTTCCTGCCTGACGCTATAACTCCGGAACGCACGAACCGATTTCCATGGTCTTGCATTCGTTGGAAAGGTCGCGGGCTCCGTGAGGTTTATAGCAAAGACAATTCTTTTAATCAACAAACGAAATGTTACATACAAGGAAGCCATCTGGTGGCGAAACGAAGTTCGCCGGGTTAGCTAGTTTTAATGTAAAATTCACGCATAAATTGGTATCGACCTCCTTGAACCTACTAATTTGCCTTTCAGTGGCCAATAAAGATAAGCTTAGAACTTAGAACTATTTCTTTAACTTCCTTTAACTAGTCCAAAAGTGGGAAATCGAGGGCATTAACTCACACACAGCAACTTAATCTAAATATTATCGAAAGAAATAAAAATTTTTTGTAATAATGTGGTGTAACACGCAATCCAGTTCTTGGCCCGAGGCGCGACATTGCGGTCACAAGGTTATGTGTAATGAGCGACTTAACACTTTGAATCTAATTTAACTATGAAGTGATTTGTATGGTGACCATAGAGTAGAATGTTCTTGTCAACACCCTGATTCTTCCTGTGGTTTTGTCATAGGAGCCGACTATGTAAGTAACAGACGTGCCTGCGGTGCCTGTACGTTTAACAGAGACGGGACGGCAGCGCTTTCTGATAAACCTGGGCTTACCCTTGAATCGACATTAGTATTGTAAGCTTTCGTACTCTTATGAATTTTGCAACACTAGCACTCCTAAATGCATCCGTAAATGCGTGGAAATATAATTATCTAAATAGTAGTTTTTTTTAAGGGGGGAAAATCATCTAATGACCGCTCTCGCCTGGGTAAGGCGGGAGGTAGTATCAGACTCTTACTGACTAAAAACCACCCTGTTTCTTCTCCTGCACGTCGAGCCGGAGCCCCGGTAACCCGTTAGGTTCTCCGCGACCACTAAATAGTATTGAGTTTAGCTTTATATTTAGCCGTACTCTGAATGCTATTTCAACAGCTATAATAGGGGTTGTATAGGTAAGATATTGAATAATCATTGAGATTTTATTGGATTGGAAACGCATTGACAATGAGATTGGTTTCAAGCGTAAGCACCCTGAACCTTTTAAACTGTGATTTTTTCTGCTAATCGTGGAGACTGCGGTATAGAAGAGGTCAAAAGTGTAGCAGAGGGTATTGTCACGGACTATTGATGCTAACTGATGTAAGTACCTATTTACCAAGAAACTGCAATTCGTTGCGGATAATAAAGTTATTTGTGGCCAAGTTAAAAGATAAGACGTAGTATTTTAAGATCACGTTGCATACGATACATAAATAAGGCTGTTAGGTACCAATTATTTATCAACCTCAGGAGTAATAGTTATCAATAAAAAACTCACAATCATTAGTCATCGTACGAAATGGGTGCATTCCATCATTGAGCCCAATCCGACTACAGTAATTTGGGAGCATTGTTATTGTTACACTTTCCAAAAATTCTTTTTTCGGATAGTTCAAAACTCGGAAAGTGAGTTTACGTTTTGTCAAACCCGGAAATTTACGTTTTTACGTGTTAATCGCCATCTAATAGTTCACGATGACAAATGAAATTGTAACGATTACGAATAAGTTATTTAAGATATTCGTAATCGTAATATAGTGTTAATTTGATTGTTAACGCGGCCGGTTGTTTATAAATATTATTATTGTACGATGACTGCCTTTATTTCCCACTTTACAAGATACTTCAAAGAATCCTTACTAATATTATAAATAGGAAAGTGTGTTTGTTTAATTTTGTTTCTTCCCATCAGGTTTAAGAACCGTATACGAGACAGACAAATCGTCCTTGGGGGACACTAACGCCAGAGGCAATTTTAAAGGAGGTAAAATGCATTTTGGCTCTTATATACTGACCTTTTGCCAGGTACCGAGTACTAGGTATTCTGCAGCAAGTCTTTTCCTTTGTATAACTGATTATTACACATAGATAGAAGACGTTATATTACGAAGAACGTTAACGTCATTTATTATGTAAGTAATTAATTATCAAATAGTGGCGCTCGCGTGACCCAAGTAGGGTCTCGGTTGGTAAACTATGTCGGCCAAGAAACCTGTAGGGCCAATCAGTCTTGTTATTTACGAATAATTAACTGATATATTCAGGTCAGGCCCTGTTTTGGGGCCAACTCCTTAAGTTATTCATGATGGTATCTTCAAGAATTTAGGCAGCAACGTAACCTGCTTTTTGAAGTAAATTCTAGTAATTATAAAACTACCTTAATCAGACGAATTTGTTTAATGGACCTTAAAGGTTTTACAGTAAAGTTGAGAATTTATTAAACAGTTTCTATAATAAAGTTGTGATGTTAAGTCGTTGCTAAGCAGCATTCATGCATTTCAACTCGTTAATATATTGGCAAAGCAATCGATAGGGCAATGAACTTAGAATGTATCGCTAACGTATCGCTAACGT